GGTTCTATATTTTATATGCTTTGCTTCATTAATTGTTAGGGTTTTTCTTCTACACTCTATGCATGCTTTGTTTAACTCATTCAATTGCATGATCATTGATGTTATCTATATGGACACATATAGGTAAATCTAGAACTAGGGAAATTCTCCCGGAAGCAATATTACCTAGACATAGGAATAGGAGGATCAATTGCCTTTAAGCTTCTGTGCGAATGTAATGCATGAATAATTGCTAGGGAGACAAGACATTGTAAACTAGTGATTAGGAGTAGGCTTTCTTCACCGAGACTTCGGGTTTAAGGTAAATTAGAAAGTGACATTAACATTAATGAAGAAAGATGAATTCTTGAATACATGAGAGTGGATAGGATAAGTCGGAAATCCCAATAACATACTCATTCATATTTTACATCAATCTCTTTTGCTTCTTTCAATCCAATTCATCAAAACTTGCATTCATGTTTATTTTCCATAATTCAAACACAATGACTTTGTTTACAAGTCTAATTTAATCAAGAGATCACATAATTGTCTAGGCCGTGAGTCCTTTGGGAAACGATACTTGGTCTTACCATTTTATTATTACTTGATACGATTCGGTACACTTGCAGAGTGTTAACAAGCTAGCATCAACTTAATGTCACTCTCTATGTTTAAAAAGATTGAAGGTTTGGAACTCAAGCCTACTCGGGTGACTACCAATTAGCGGATAGATCTCTTAAATACCCTTATGGGGTGGTTGAAGATGTGCTTATTAAAGTGGACAAATTCTTATTTCTGGTGGATTTTGTCATCATGGAGATGGAGGAGGATATATATGTGCCTCTCATTCTTCGGAGACCCTTTATGAAAATGGCTCGAGTTTTAATTGATGTGGAGAATGGCAAACTCAAGGTGAGTGTACAAGATGAAGAAGTGAATTTTGACGTGTTTGAAGCCATGGCTCATCCAAAAGATGATAAGGCATATTTTCATCTTGATGCACTAGATGAAGTATGTACGATTCAGCAGAATATGGTACGTTGTTCTTCTCCTTAAGAGAAAATTCTCATTGATGCATGTGAATATTTGAATGAGGAAGAAGAGGAATTGATTGATGAGTGCTTGACTGACTTGGATGCATTAAAAGAAATCCCTTTTCATGAGGCGAAAATTGAAGAGATCAATAGCAAGGAAAAAGTCAAGGAAAATAAACTAGAACTGAAGATGTTACCTCCACATCTAAAGTATGTTTTCTTAGAAGAAGGTGGGAATAAACCGGTCATCATCAGTGATTCTTTATCCTCCAAAGAAGAAGAAAAGTTGGTGGAAGTACTAAAAGCCAACAAAGGAGCTATGGGATGGTCAATTTCGGATCTTAAAGGCATAAGCCCAACTTATTGCATGCACAAAATATTCATGGAAGATGAGTATAAACCAGTTGCGGAACCAAAAAGAAGACTGAATCTTGTGATGAAAGAGGAGGTTAGAAAAGAAGTTCTGAAGCTTCTAGAGCCTTGTATTATATACCCTATTTCTGATAGCGAATGGGTAAGCCTAGTACAGGTGGTACCAAAGAAAGGTAGGATGACAATTATATATAATGAAAAGAATGAGCTCATACCTACTAGGACGGTTATTGGGTGGAGGATGTGCATTGACTATAGAAAGTTGAATAAGGCCACAAGGAAGGATCACTTTCCCCTTCCTTTCATGGATCAAATGTTGGAGAGATTGGTTGGACAAGTTTTCTATTGCTTTCTGGATGGTTACTCAGGGTAGATCAAATTGTGGTAGATCCAAAAGACTAGGAAAAGACAACTTTTAAATGTCCATTCGGTATTTTTTCTTATAGAAAAATTCCATTTGCCTTGTGTAATGCTCCAGCCACATTTCAAAGATGTATGCAAGCAATCTTTGAGGATATGATAGAAAAGTGCATTGAAGTCTTTATGGATGATTTTTCGGTATTTGTTGATTCTTTCCAAGTATGTTAATCTAACATGGATAGTGTTCTTAAAAGGTGCATTCAGCCAAACCTTATTCTTAACTGGGAAAAATGCCATTTCATGGTAACAGAAGGCATTGTTAGGGGGCACAAAGTTTTTTACAAGGGAATTGAGGTTGACAAAGCTAAAGTGGAAGTCATTGAAAAGCTTCCACCACCGAAAAATGTGAAAGGAATCAAGAGCTTTATTGGGCATGCCGAGTTTTATAGAAGATTTATTAAAGACTTCTCCAAGATTTCCAAACCTTTAAGCAATCTCCTTGTCAAAGATGTGCCTTTTGTGATGAATGATGAATGCATGAAGGCTTTTGACATTCTGAAGAAGAAATTGGTTTCTACGCCAGTGATTGTAGCTCCAAATTGGAATCAAGACTTTGAGTTAATGTGTGATGCTAGTGATTATGCTATAGGTGTTGTGCTTGGCCATCAAAGAGAGAAGGTTTTTCACACTATTTATTATGCGAGCAAAGTTTTGAATGAAGCTTAGTTGAATTATGCCACTACAGAAAAGGAATTCCTTGCTATAGTATATGCCTTGGAGAAATTTAGACCTTATCTCATTGGGTCTATGGTGACCATATACACGGATCATGCAGCTATAAAGTATTTGCTAACCAAGCTAGACTCTAAATCACGCTTGATTAGATGAGTACTTTTACTACAATAGTTTGATGTGGAAATTCGTGAAAAGAAGGGTAGTGAGAATGTGATTGCTGATCATCTATCCCGGTTAGTAAATGGTGAAGTCACAAGTAAGGAGAAAGAAATTTGGGAGTCCTTCTCAGATGAAACACTCATGTATATTCAATAGAGGTAATGGTTTGCTGATATGACTAATTTTAAAGCCGTAGGAGTAATTCCAGAAGATTTTAATTGGCAACAGAAGAAATTTTTTTTGCATGATGCAAAACATTTTATCTAGGATAATTCGTTTTTATTTAAGATTGGAGCGGACAATCTTTTGAGGCGTTGTGTTACTAATGAAGAAGTGTTGATGAATCGGCAAGTGTACCGAATCGCACAAGTAATATAAAATGATAAGACCAAGTATCGTATCCTAGAGGACTCTCTACGCTAGACAATTGTGTGATAACTCGATTAATTAAGACTTAAAGAAACCGAGATCATTGGTTTCAGATGCAAAGACAAAAAATTAAATATGAATGCAGTTTGATCAATAGTAGAAGAACAGAGTGATAAACAAATGTTGTTTAATATGAGATGAATATGTTGTTGGGGTTAGATTTCACCAAGTTCCCTCTCATGTATGTAAGAATTTGTCTTTTTTCATTAATGTCAACGTCACTCACTAAATTACTTAAACCCGATCCCTCGGTGAAATAAGTTTGTCCTCAATCACCAGTTCATGTAATTCCTAGCATTCCTAGTAATTAAATTTGAAGATCAAGAGCTTTAAGACAACCAAGACTCATACCCTCATCGCTAAGAAATATTATTCTTAGGAGAATTCAACAAGAACTTGAATTGTAAGGAACCTCCCGGTACTCATGCAATTCATACATCATGCTGAGTTAAACAAAGCATGTAATAAGCACATATGAATTTCTCTAACAATTAATGAAAACGCATGTGTTATTAAGAATCAATTCAAATACATGAGATTTCAAAAGGTTACAACAACAAATAGAGTTTAGTTCACCATAGACATGATGAAGCTAGATGAATAATGGAAAAACATGAGATAGCAAAACCCTAAAAGTAGAGGATGGAAGCTCCCGTATCCAAATCCGCCTTCAGAGAGTGGAAGAATGTGTTGTTGTGCTGCTCCAACCAGAGATACAAAACATAAGACGTTTGGGACCTTTAAATACAACGAAGACAAAACAGAAACAAAGCCCAGGCTCGTGTTGTTGGCGCTCAAGCACCCCACTTCGGCCGCCCGAGTAGTGAGCGGTGGTCTTCCATGCTTAAGCCTTACAGATGACGCCCAAGCTTCGTGTCTCTGGCGCTCAAGCGCCCAAAAAGGGGCGTTCGGGCGGTGAGCGGTGGTTTCCTACACTCAAGCCTCATAGAGGACGCCCAAGCTTCGTGCTTCTGGTGCTTAAGAACCCAAAAGGGGCGCCCGGGCAATGAGCGGTGGTTTCCTACGCTCAAGCCTCCAAAAAGGGCGCCCAAGCTTCGAGCACTCCTCGCTTCTGGTGCTTTTCCAGGCCTTTCTGAGCTCCATCTCCATGGCATGTCATCCATGCTTTCCATATTATCTCATTTTCAACCAAAACAAGGAGAATTAGTCATAAAATAATCAAATTCAACCTCAACTCTCTTATTCACACAACTTAAATGAAAAACATGATTCTAAGCAATTTTTTAAGCAGAAAAGGGTGCATTTAGTATCAAAATTACATCATAAATAACGGTATTTTCAACCATTATCAAGAAGCAGAAGAAATTCTTTGGCATTGTCACGATTCACCTTATGGGGGGCAATTTAATGGAGAGAGAACATCTGCAAAGGTTCTTCAGTTAGGATTTTATTGGCCTACTTTGTTTAAAGATGCTCATAATCATGCTAGAAATTGTGATAAATGTCAAAGAACTGGGAGCATCTCAAAACAACATGAAATGCCATTATAGGGCATTTTGGAGGTTGAAGTCTTTGATTGCTAGGGGATAGATTTTGTTGGACCTTAATAATGAATATATTTTGGTGGCGGTTGATTATGTGAGTAAGTAGGTGGAAGCAATTGCTTGTCCTAGGAATGATGCTAGCATTGTCATTAGATTTTTGAAAAGGCAAATTTTTGCTCGATTTGGAGTTCCTAGAGTTGTTATCAGTGATAGGGGATCACATGTTTGCAATGCTCAGCTAGCAAAAATACTCAGGCATTATGGTGTGAGGCATAAGGTGGCTGCACCTTATCATCCATAGACAAACGGGCAAGGTGAAGTATCTAACAGGGAGATAAAGAAGATTTTGGAAAAGACAATTGCTTCATCACGGAAGGATTGATCTCAAAAGCTAGATGATGGCCTTTGGGCATACAGGACAACAATGAAGACAACTATAGGGTTGTCTCCTTTTCAGTTGGTATATGGAAAAGCATGTCATTTACCAGTGGAGATGGAGCATCGAGCTTTGTGGGCTTTGAAGTTCTTAAATTTTGATCCATTTGATACCGCTGATAAGAGAAAAAGACAAATTCTTGAGTTGGAAGAGATGCGTTTTCATGCTTATGAGTCTTCCAAGAATTATAAAGAGAAGGTAAAATTTTGTCATGACAAGAAGTTGGTAAAAAAGGTTTTTAATCCAGGGCAGCAGGTCTTGTTATTCAACTTACGTCTAAAGTTTTGCCCTGGAAAGTTGAATTCCAAGTGGTCTGGACTGTTTAAAGTTAAGGATGTTAAAACTATCCAGAACCGGTTAAGGTATTTTATGCAAACATGAGGGCTGAAGACAACAACATTCTTTCTCGAGTAAAAGGTGTAGACATCTGCATTGATGAAACTATTTGGAAGACAATCGCAGGATTTCATCCTGAAGGGATTAAGTCACATTTGGGTATGAGAGGAATTAACAAAATGGCCATCTACAAAGACTGCTTAAGATTTCCAGAAGAGCCAAGATATTTCACTCTCTTCAAGGTTGGAGGACTGAAAAAGAATGAGCGACTATGTGCATTTATCATAGCCTGGATTTTACTGCCAAGAGGTGGAAATCATGCTCAACTGACAACTGAGGATGTGTATGTGCTACATGTGATGAAAGCAACTTCACTCTTCAAGAATGAGCAGCTTCTCGGACCAAAGGTGGCAGCGGAATTGGAAAACGCAGATGCAATTGTAGGCGTTTGATGAATTGGAAGGTGTTTGATGAATTGTCTGGTGGTGTTTGGATGAGTGTTTTGGTAGATTTCTAACTCAGTAGGCTTTCCAAAGGGGAAAGGAGCTAGAGGAGGTGATAAATAACAAAGCACAGAGGTGAACTTGAGAGTAATAGCTTAAAATTGGCAGCATTTCTTTACTTCAATTCAAGTTATTCTTACAATGGATTGAGGTTCTCTTTTATAGATGAAGAGAGGCCTTCAAACGTGCCTAGCAAGCTACTGGAAATGTAAGAGAGACGTTCTGAAGAAGCTATACGGACTAAGTTGCATGTTCCATGTGCACAACATTGAAAACGTGCTCAAAAGAGATGAAACTACACGATTGCTTTGTGTTTCATATATAACTAATGACAAACTTATGAACACCGAAAAACGGCGCCACAAACTTGTTTAACAATCGGCAAGTGTGA